AATTAATTTGGATTTGAATCCGCAAAAGTAGTAGGTGGGCAAAATTCTGTCCACACTATAGATGAGTCGATCAAGTATAAACCCAGCCAAAATCACGCAGAAATATTAGGAACCTGCATAATTTTTCATGGCCATTAAAATTTTCCAAATATATGGTCATTCAAAATAAAATCATCGAGATTAAAAAACGAGGCATAATAGTAAAGAAAATTAATAATAATAAAATTGGGCTGCAAATAAAGCTGTCCCAATATGCGAAACAAGTGAACATCATATGATGATGCAATGCTAACATAAGCTATAAACTTGTTTAGGCCCAATATTCACGCAGAACAGTATTTACATGGCTTTCGACCTGGCTGAAGCTAATGAAATAGATCTTGATATTAGGTAAATGAGGTCTTCTATAAATCTTATCTTATTGGTATAAACGGGCTAGGCTTTGAACCTGGCCCAAGCTAAATCAAACGAGGTGTTAACGAAAATTATCTTAAATTTTAAATACTTGTTACGAAATTTTATTATTATTTTATCTAAAATGACATCTTTAACATGTAAGATTCGCCTGTCATACATTATAATTTTTTTTTAATTTATATCATATGATACTTTTGATAAATGAATATAATTAATTAATAAATTATAATTTATAATTATTAAATTGTGATTCATGTTTAATTTAAATTTTATATATGTAGATATAGTATTTTTTTATGTGGAATATGAATATTGTCATAATTATGACAAAATAACTACTTTGATGTGTTATAACTTATATGTGAAAATTGTTAATGAGTCAAATATTATTAAATTTCAAATATATTTATAATTTAAGTGAACCTTGGATTATAATTTTATAATGTTTTTAATAGGTGTTAGGGAATAATTATGTGCCTTCAAATTAATGATTTATTATTACTTTATAGATAAACTTATATAATGTTCCACACACGTCATTCTTTGGAATCAAAATCAATAAAATATACATTTAAAGTGTACTTATCACCTAAAACACAACTTTCCACAATATTGCATTATTTTATAGAGGATGCTTTCGTATGCACTTGATAAAATTAATGTAATAGGACAATACGTGTTTGTACTTGGTTGAATGCAAAAATTATTAAGAATAAAATATTCTCATTGCAGATTGCAGATTACAGATAAACTTTTGTGTTTTTATTTTTCTTCAATTTTCCTCACTATCTCATGTATTTAATTATTCCCAGCGCCTACATTGAAAAATAAATAAATAAATAAATAAAAAGAATTCCAGTTAATATAATTTAGAAAATATTCAGATGATTGAGAATCATATTTTATTGGGAGAATTATTATGTATTAATGGGTATCAAGTTCCTCGAGTTAATATTGACTTTTTTGTTTCGTGTTATTTAGCTTTGGAATATTTTGTCTTTTCAAAATAACTCTAACATGACTATATATGATGCGGTATTATCTCTAAATAAATTGCAATGGCCCTTAGTACCAATTATTGAATACATTTGTACCAATTAGTGGGTTTTATCCCTAATGCATTTATACTCTATCATTTGATTCCAATTAATCAAAATAATTCACATGTATATTGTGAGGCAAAAGTGATTTCAGAATCTAAGTACCAATTCTAATGGGTATTGGGTTAGGTTTTGCGTGTCATGAAGGTGTATCAACATGTAACATTAATATTAGTGCACATTAAATGAAAATTAAGTAATAAATTATTAATTGTTAGTAGATTTATGCAGACAAACTTCTGATACTCGAGCTTGTGCTCGAACTTTTGTCGATTCGAGTAAACTAGTTTCATTCAAATAACTCTGACAATGATTGTTAAACTAGTTTCATTCAAATAACTCTGACAATGATTGTTAGAAATATATTGTTATATATGTAAAATGAAAAAAAAAAAGAAAAAAAAAATCAAAAAACTTTGGAAATCTTACAGCTGTTTTCTATACGTCTCTAAATAGTACCAATAGTCATTATTTTGATGCTATGCAAAAAGGCCATGTTTTGAGATAATGAAAAATTGAGTTCTTCAGTATTTGTGATATGTGAGGCAGGCATTTTTCTCCCCAGAACTTTGACTCATGCACAATTTTGTCGTTTAGTTTTGGATTTTATGGTATAAAACAAACTCAATAAGGGTAGTACCCACTTATAGCAAAAACCAATAAGATGAAAACATGTGGCAAATTTTTGACTATTAAGGTACTATAAACACACCAAATATCGTTTTTATAAATAGCAAAAGCAAAATGTACAGCCATATACAAATGGACTACCCAAAAGTAGAATAAGAGGAGTGCCAAGAAGGCTACCTAACTAACCAAACCAAAAGAACTACTTCAAAACAACAATGTCCGGCATAGTCTGATGCTACGAGGCCCGGATTTGTGAATTGAAGCAGCTGTACTAGAAAAGGGAAGTACCTAGCAAAAAGATAACCCTACCACTGAACCAAAGACCTAGCAGGGTTATCACAAAACCTAACAAAGCAGCATAAGCCAAGCAACTGAAAATAAAAACTGGAAAAGAGAAGAAAAGAGCTAAAGAAGACAAACTAACTGAACTATAAATTCGCAAATTCTAACCACTCAGATTGAGCTGTTTGGACAATAGAGTATTCAGAAAGCCAGAAATTCTGGAAAACCCAAAGATTTCTGGCTTTCCAAATCCACCAAAGTAAGTGAATTGTGTTCTGAGGTCATGGAAAGCAACATTTTTCAGTGTGCATAGAGTGTTCCACCATTGTGTGAAGTTGGTTGTGAGGTCTGCCAGTCCATCCCAGGTAATAGATGCAAGCTTCCAGATTGTCTTGGATTTGGGACAATGGAATAGGAGATGTTCCAGTGATTCCTCAGCAGCTCCACATGTTTTGCAGATGGTGTCCAAGTTTTTGAGTTTCTTTGACAATGCCAGGTTGATTGGAAGGGTAGTAGTAAGGCATTTCTAGATATAATGCTTCAGTTTTCCAGGGACTTTCAGAGACCATAGCTTCTTCCTTGCATTCAGAGCTCCTGCTCCCATTGAGCTGCTTTCAGGGATATCCAATTTTTGCCATTTGTCCTCCACCAAAGAACAGTAAACTTTAGCCACAGTGAGGGTTCCTTGTTTGCTTTGCATCCATGGAGAGAACTCTTGTGTGATATTAGGTTTAGGCCCAGGCTTTCTCTTCCATTTTTTGCAGGTGGTTCTAGGTTCAGTTTGATTTGGATCATTTGAGCAATTGGTGGGGGTTTCCTCCATGGGGGAGCAGTGCAGAGGGATTTCTGAGGTTAGAAGGTTAGCTAAGGTATTTGGTTTAGTAGTTTCCTGTTTTGGTGGTGGAGAAGGAATGGTAGTTGTTGTGTTAGGGGGGGTTAGGTTGGATGCTGATTTACTGTCATTATCAAAGGAACTGTTGTTAATATGGGGAGAGGTATTCATAATAGGCAAGGGAGGGTTGAGAGTGGTTTGCACTGGAGTTGTTGGAGGTTTATCTGAGGCTTTGGGAGTTATAGTTTCTTGAGAAGCTTGGTTATCCGAATCTGGTTGGTTGTTTGTGCGGGGATCAGATTGAGAAGGAGAAATGGGTTGGGGGGTGATGAAAGGGAGTTTCTGTGGCTTTGAGCCAATCTCCGTAAGAACCCGATTTAAGCTGACCTTCTTTAATATCTTGGCTTCTTTTTTCACAAAATTTATCTTGGTGTCCAAGAATGCCACAGTAATAACACAAGCTCACCAGTCGTTCGTATTTAAATTCCACCACCATCTTAGAATTTTCAAGTTGGAGGCTTGCATACCTGAGGATTGGTAGCTCTAAATCCACAGTGACGAGCATTCTGATACACTTGCCAGCCAGCAATCCATATTGGGGTATGATTACATTCTTAACTAGTTTGAAAGCTTTCCCTATTTTGAGGCCGACTTCTTCTGAGTTCCAGTGTAAAGGGAGGTTCCAAACTTGAACCCATATATCAAGCTCATTGAATTCCGGGTGATTGGCATTTATGTCTTCTTTCCACTCTCGGAGAATGAGATACTGGTTATCAAACGTCCAGTTTGTGCCTTTTGCTACTTTGTTCTTATCCTCCAAGTTGGAGAAGATGAATTGAAAGTAATTTGAGCTTCGTTCTCTAATTGTAACTGGTGCCCTAGTTTGCCACATGTGACCTAGAGCCCTTTTCAAACCAATTAGGTGAGCCTTTTTTTGTCCGACCACCTTGCCGAAGAGACTGCGATTGCATTCATCCTTGCTTTTTTGGATATCCTCTGTGTCTAAGGGGATAATGTTCGCTTCTTTTTCGGATAGGTGTACATCGCCCAATTTCTGAGCGAGATCTTCGTCTTCCATTATGAACACTGACCTGCAGCTGATGATGGAGGAGAAAAAACCGAGCTTTTCCCCAATAGCAAGAGGAACCCTAAGGAAAATGGGGAAATAATAGAAAGAAAACCAGATAATGGTAAGAAAGGAAATCACAAAAAGAAAGGAGAGACCTGGGTAGCTGGAATGAAGGACTCTAATTACAGAGAATCTGGCCATATGAAGAAGGAATCATGCTCCCAAGGGAGAATCGCCGCCCTCATGGAGAGAGAATTTTTTTGAAAGTTGAAAGTTGAAACTCACTATTTGAATGTTATACACACACCATATTTTGCTATGGACAAAATCAAAGAAAAATCCTATTTAGAAAAAAATATTAAGGCAACTAAGTAAAAAAAAAATAAAAATATTATGAGCGATCCACCGAAAATGTCAAAACAAATAGGAACACTTATAGAAATAATAAAAAAGACTCAATTAGAAACATTTGGAAAATTAGATGAAATAAAAGAAATAATAAAAGAACTACAAGATTTTGTACAAAAAGAAAAAATATTGAAAAAGGTATTTAAGCCGATTTAGATAGAACCACTAACAAGTTCTCATGGATGATATAGATAGGTTAGCTCAATTATTAGAAAAAATGCAATATTAAAGAGACTAGAATGGCAAAAATAGATGATGAGGATAAAAAATGAATAATCTACGGGATAGATAGCGAAGATGAAGATGAACCAACATTTAATATGACTGACCAAAAACCGCATACAACACCACCATTATCACCAAAACGACCAAGAACAAATAATAATGAAGCATCTACTTCACAAAATAATTATGTAGAAAGTAGTTTTAGAGATTTTATATATAGAAATGATTATAGTTATCATCAAGAAAAAATAAAGAAAAATATTCCACCAGCATATTTAGAAAAAGAAAGAAATTTATCTAATGGAATATTAAATATAGATTGTGCAATCAATGCAGAAGATTTAATAGTTACTTGGACAAATCAATTAAAATTACTAGTTCAAACTAATGACTCGATGATAAATGTAATGACATTAATCGATTTTTTCCATTATATAAGATATAAAACATCTGGGGTATTATTTGATTATTTAGAAAACACTCGAATTTTATTAAATATTGAAGCCAGTGGTTCAGAAACAGGAGCAGAATATAAAATATCAGCCTTAAAAGAATTAGCAAAAGATGTTTTAAAAGAATTTTTAGGAATTACAAGACAAGAATCAAAAGAGACACAAAAAGATAAAGTAGTCCGATTCCTAACAAATATGAAGCTATGCAATATATGCTACATAGAAATTTTTTCTGTCAAGTGAGAGAAAATTTTTATAAAATTAAGGATCGGTCGGGACTAATAGAAATAGTTGAAAGTAAACTTAAATATGAAATGAATAAATATATTCAGAAGAAAATCAGTGAAACAAAAGAAGAAAAAACTCTAGGAATTTTAGAAAAATATGCAAAAGAATATAGAGATGAACTTTGTATAAGAAAAATAGAACATCATGAAATGACTAAAGTCGATTCAAGATGTTGCAAACAATTAGAAAGTGTACCACAAGAACTTGGTTGTTATAATCCATACAAAAAGAAAAGATATTATAAGTACAATAAGTTTAATAGACGATATAGACCAGGAAGATATAAGACATTTAGAAACCGTGGAAAACAAAATATAAAAGAAAGTTTAGAAAACAAGAAAAATATTTAGGAAAACCTAAATACTGTCCTAAAGGTAAGAAGAATTGTAGATGTTGGAAATGTCAAGAAATATGACACTATGCAAATGAATGTCCTAAAAATATACCAGAAAAAAAAAGAAGTTAAAAATGATATTTTCTTTAGGATATGAACCAATAGAAGAAGAATACGAAGAAAGTGAATTATTAGATTTTGATATATATGACTTAGAATCAGAAACAGATACTGATTTAGAATCATCTAAATCAGAAGATGAGTAAAAACAGTTCATTTATAAAAGTTAAATTATTTAACAAATTTTTACTGGCATATATAGACACAGAAGCAACGATATGCCTAGCAAAAGAATCCATATTACCTAGTAAATATTGAAAGAAATTAGACAAATCAATTATAGTAAGAATTGCAAATAATAAAACAATATGTATTGATTATAGAGCAACAGATTTAGTATTATTAATAGAAGAAAAAAGATTTCCTTTACCTAGTCTTTATAAACAAAATACAGGTTTACCATTAATAATTGAAAATAACTTTCTTAAGTTATATAGTCCATTTATTCAAAGATTAAATAGTATAAGCCTTAGATGTCCACAACTGGATACCCAGTCCAGTAAAATGATTACTACAAAATATATAATACGTCTTCTTTCATACGGGGGGAAATATTAAGAAAAGTTTCATTTCAAATTTATAAAGTAATAAGTATAACTTTAGAAGAACATGTTAATCAACTATTAGAAAACATATGTAGTCAAAATCCATTGGATCCAAATAAGAACACGAATAACATGATAGTAAAAATAGAACTTATAGATCCTGGCAAAGAAGTCAATGTGCCAAATAGGATACCATATACAGAAAGAGGTGTTAAGGAATTTCATGAAGAAACTACTAAGATGTTAGAAAATGGTATTATACAACCTAGTACAAGTCCACATAGTGCACCAGCATTCTATGTAGAAAATCATAATGAATTAAAAAGAGGAAAACGAAGAATGATTATAAATTACAAAGAAATGAATAAAGCTACTAAACGAGATGCATATAAGTTGCCAAGACAAGATTATATTTTTAGTCGAATTAAAAAGGCAAGATGGTATAGTACATTAGATGCTAAATCAGGATATTGGCAGTTAAGGTTACATGAAAAAACTAAACCTTTAACAACATTTAGTTGTCCACCTCAAAACCACTATGAATATAATGTAATGCCATTTGGACTTAAACAAGCACCTAGCATATATCAACGATTTATGGATAATAATCTTAAGGAATTAGAATCAATAAGTCTTGCTTATATAGACGGTATAATTATTTTTACTCAAGGATCAAAAGAAAATCATTTAAAAAAACTTGCAAAAGTTTTAATACAGTTAGGAAATAAAGGCATTATTTTAAGTAAAGAAAAAGCAAGAATCTGCAAAACCGAAACAGAATTTTTAGGAATGAAAATAGTCGAGGGAGGATATATCGAACCTCAAAAACATCTACTTGAAAAAATACATCAGTTTCTAGATCAGCTTCAAGATAGAAATCAAATTAAAAAATTTATTGGATGTTTAACATATATTGGAGAAAAAGGTTTTACAAAAAGTCTTGCAAAAGAAAGAGAATTACTACAAAAAATGATTTCAGAAAAAATACCATGGAAATGGACAAACGATGCAACCAGAGCAGTACAGTCCTTAAAAAGACTATGTACTCAATTACCACAGTTTATCTACCAAAGCCTAGTGATTTACTTATTCTAAACACTGATGCAAGTCAGAATACTTGGGGAGCAGTCCTTCAAGCAATCTCAAATGCATATGAAGAGTTTAAAAAATTTATTGCAAACAACAAACCATCTGAAGTTAAATCCTTTATACGAAGGATGACTAAAGATAGTTTGGATGTAAATAGCGAATCTAATAATTCTATGCAAATAGTATTGGAAAAACCAATAGCAAGCAATTACTATTATCCAAATGGGTATCAGGAACGTTTAAGCAAGCAGAACGTAACTATACAACACATGAAAAAGAAACATTAGCTTTTATAAATGCTTTGGAAAAGTTTAAACTTGATTTACAACCAGTTAAATTCATTTTTAAACAGATAGTCTATATACAAAAGATTTTACAAAATATCGAATAAGAATCTTACAACAAAGGCAGACTTTTAAGATGGAGTTTAAAAGCACAACAGTTTGATTATATATCTGTATATATTTCAGGAAAAGAAATCTACTTAGCAGATACATTAACACGAGAATGGAAGCACTCAAACCAGTCTTAGAAGATAGTCTAAGAATGCTGGAAAAGCAGGTAGAAGAGCTCTTTGAGCAAATAAAGAAAAAAGAAAAAGAAATCAGCCAGATAAAAGCCATACTGTTTGCAGAAAAAGGCAAAGAAGAAAAGAAAAATGAAAAACAAAAATAAATAAATGGAGAAGAAAAAGAAAGACCTCATTTTGATGAGGAAGAAAGAACAAAAAACCATTATGTAATACTTACAGGTCCTAATCAAGAATATTTTCTCAATGGAGTCAAGCAGCCATGTTTATAACAGGACAGAATGTTATACATTAAAAATTTTCTAGCCTGTTCGAAGCAAAAGAAGCGCTAGCACAGTTCAAAGCAAG